CGTAGTCGGTTGTTTGTCGCTGTTGTTTATGCGGTGACGTCGCCGTCAGTTTACGTGGGGGTGGAGGTCGCGCAATGTCGTATCGCATGTTGCCCTGCATCGTATTTTCGAAGAAATTACCATTGGGGGTAGGTGGGTGGACTTCAGGAGTGTAGTAGCACAGAGAGGTAGGACTCAAGCAGGAAACCTCCGCGTGAGCAGAGGCAGTGCTGCAAGTGTCCTTGCGATTGCGCGTATGTCTATACATTCGTCCGCGCAGAGCCACTGCACTCTGATATCCCACCATGTCAATCGTCCACCAGATGGTGCCGTGGATGGTGAGGAGTAGAGCGATAGCTGTCCTCCACACGACACCTCCGTTACCAAGTTTGAAGGGGGTCGGGAGGCCCAACCGGATGCTGCGCCTAAGGCGAAGCCCGTATCCAACTCTGTTGTACTGTAGTAGCGATAGTCCTAAGAGCAGGAGAGAGTCGCGGGAGCGACGAGCCATGTCAAACGAACGCGTTTTCGGTCCCAATGGCAAATCGTGTGCCTCGCGATGAAGCGCAGTCATATGTTGGCGGCTGGCCGCTTGAGCCCGAATGGCCGCGGACAAACGCTCGCTACCTCTAGCAGTTGCCCGACCTCCTATAGTGTGTGCTGGCCTTGCCTGTCCAGTTTTGTTCCCTGTTTGTTGCATGAGGCTGTTGTGCGTTGCGTATGTGCTGCCTCTGCGTTGCCTCGGTTTGTGTTGCATGGTTCCACACAGGGGAAACTGCCCAAGTTGCGGAAGAAGGTTCGGCGCGTGGCAAGATCTTAGCGAGCGATCGCAATTGAGCATGCAGACAACCAATGAAACAATCCACAACAACCAACCAAGCACGCCACAACAACCAATTCGGGGTGCGCTCCACCAGAAATGCGGCTAGCCAAATGCATTTATGAGGCGCGGAAGGCGTTCTCGAATGCCTCTTGTTGCGTGTCGCTTCGCGAAACATAATTTCACTGCGGAGGATCGGATTTATCGAATACGCCGCACCATCTACCAGATTCTGGCCGCCCTTGCCTCCCCTGCCTACGACATCGATTCTGAGCTCACCGTGGCGGAGATCCACGCAACATAATCTCACGTACCCGACGTCTGCAGCCAGTCTGTCCTGGCAGGCAAGCAACCTGTCAACCCGCAACAACCTGGCCGCCACCCTCCCCCTTGGCCCTTGGCCCTGCCTGCCATGCACGCTCGCGCTCTCCTCCTGGCCCCGCTCGGCCAGACGCCCTCTGCTTCTCCTCCCCTCTGGCCCCCGCCTTCCTGCCGCCGCCCTCTGGCCCCCCGCCCTCCGCTTTCCTCTCCTCCCGCACAGCCCTGCCTGTCAGGCCTGCCTCTCGGCCGCCGCTGTTTCGGGCACATCGACGGGCTCACCGGCGTCGCTGCGCCGCTGCGGCTTTTGCGGGCTTCCCACCGTCGTTGTCAAGCCTCTCGGCCTCCTTGTTCCTTGTTCGGTGCCCTTCCGCCAGCTCCTGCCGGCCATGGCACCACCTGTAGTTGCGTTCCCTCGCCCTCGCGGGCTTATGGTCGGCTTGGGGCCGTCGCTCCTCTGTTCTCTCGTCCCCCTCGCCATCCGCGGCCAGATGGCCTTCGGCCTCTCCGTCGCACCGTAATCTCGCTTCGTTCTTTCCCACCCGCCCGCCCCCCTTGCCATTCATGTTCCCTCGCCCTCGCGGGCTTCTGGTCGACTCCAGCCGTCGCTTCGCTGTTCACTCGTCCCCCCTGTCTTCCGTGGACGGTTGGCCTTCGACCCTTCCGTCGCGCTGTGGTCTCGTTCAGTCCGTCCCCACTTCGTCTGGACCCCCCCGTCATCCTTGCCCAGACGATTTATGAGGGCTCGGCCGCTTTAAACGCGGTCGCGCGGCTGCTGTTCATCGACTTTCTCCGCCATGTCGCTGCGCGCGGGGCCGCAACGCCAACAAAAAGGTGCGTGTGTGTGTGTCCTGTGGTCTGGCAGCTTTACAGGTTTCTGTCTTTGGTCTTCACTGTCTAAAACCGCTCCGATGATTCAGCGGCACCAATTAGCACCAGACTGCTGCTGGCGCGTCAACTTATTCGAGTCGAACTTTCTGTTTCTCGATTTGCTGGCCGCTGCACTTTGGCTTTACAACGTCTCATGTTTTTCACCACCTACCACCCATCTGCACGGCCTTGACTGGACGTGTTCATCATGGCGCGTTCGACCAAAATTCGTTGCCGACTTAGTGCGTGCCCTGTGAGCGTGGAGCGGACGGGTCGAGAAACCCAGAGCAACAAAAAAACTGCAGAAACATGGTCTCTCGAAGGTCCGCCCAGATTTCTTGGGTCGGCACTGGACCCCCTCCCCAGCGCACGGAGCGCGCCAGGGGCGGCGCCCGAAGAGCAGCCAAGGGGTTCCAGCGCCGATCCGAGAAAATCCGCGCGGAGCTCCGATGAGTGATGCTAATTTCCTTATCTTCGAAGTGAGAGTATGCGAGCGCGACCACATGCCCGTGGGCGTGAGGGACGAGCCCAAACCCCTAAAAAGAGCCCCTCCTGAGAGGGTGTTCAGGGGTTCTGAACGGACAACAACTCTTCACCCCGCCCCTGCCTTCCCCAAACCCCCCGCTGAGGGAGAATTCTGGGGACCCCCTGGAACTCCAGCCGCGCGCCCGCGCCCGCGCACGTCAGGACGCCGCCGCGCCCGGGCGGCCCGGCGGGCCGGGCTCGCGCGCCAGCGAGTCCAGGGCGACGCGGCAGTTCGGGCAGCCGCGCCCGCGGGTCGGTGGGCCCCCCGAGGGGCCAGGAGGCCCTGGGGTGGAATCCCAGCCACGGGGGCCTCTCGGGCGCGGCCTTACCGACCCTCAGCAAATCATGCCCTTCCGTGACATCACCCTCGCCTTTCAAGCTTCCCTCTGGCCGCACATATACGCCTTGGGGCGAGGCGAGGGGCAAGTCACGGAAGGGGATGGTTTTCTAGGGGTCGGGGAGGCTGCCCCTGAGCCGCGCACCCAAATTTCCGACGATTGGACTTTTGGCGCCAAATTCAGATCTGCCGACGCCTGGGTAAGAGGCACCTGCGCACCACGAAATGTGGCTGGGCCCCGGCGTGGTGCGCAAGCCCTCGTGGTCTCGGCCGGGAGGGTGTGTACACCGTCCTTGGGCCCTTGAGGGCTGCGGCCGCTGACGGTGGGTGGGGCATGTGGGCGCCCTTTGCGCACAGGAGACCTCCACAAGAGACCCAGGACATGAGACCCAAGGACCTCGATGGATTCAGGATCTGGGGGCCCTGGGCTGCCCCTCGTAAACCTTGTCGAAACCCAGACAAGCTCAGAACACACTGGTAGAATAGAAGCGCGTCTTGGTACGCGTCCCCGCTGTAGGGAGACCACAGCTTCCCAGACTTGACGGGTGTCTAGACCCCAAATTTGGACGCCCGAAATGGGTACGGAAAGAATGGGTACAATGCCCAACAGCAAATGTTGTCCCAAACCGACAGCGGCCGCTGTTGGGCAGGCGGCCTTCCGTCTCGAATGGACACAGGCCGCGGCGGCGCGGACAGCGAGTCCTGTTCAAAATGAGCAGGAACTGCTGGGCTTGGTACCCATTCTTTCCGTACCCATTTCGTTCGTGCAGATCGAGCGCTCAGAAATATCGAGACGACTATTTGCTCGTCGCGTCGGGCCCGGCGAGGGAGGTCGGTCTCGGGCCCTGGGACATTGAAGACTGGCCCTGGGGAAGATGTGGAGGGGGCCCTCTCAACACATCGAGACGCCGGATGCCTGAGAAGGGCCAGGTGCCCTAGAAAAGACAGACTCCGACTTTACACCTACAACCGCCGCGCGTCGTAAGGATCCGGGGCAGGAAGACCACCCGGGGCGTCCGAATTGCAACCCACGCCGCAAGGTGGTCCGTCGGGGCTGGCGCGCGAAATTGGCTCAGGATGGGCCGTGAAGGCAAGGACTGCATCCGCCGATCTGATGTTGTTCAATCTGCGGCCCCAGTGCTCCAGACCACTTCTCCAGGGGACATTTTTTGCCCCCGATCAATTGTTGATTGTCCTGGGGCTCGAGGAGGGCCTCTGGAGGCCGAAATCTCGGAAACACGCAGAGATTGAACAAAACAGATCGTCGGAAGTCTGGGCTGTTGGAAAGACTCCTCACCCTTACTTCGGCGGCGCGGTGAGCGGGGGCAGGCCTTCGCAGAAGGCGGCGGGGTTTCTCAGAAGCCTTCCGGCCTTCTGAGAAGCCGTGGCTGTCCTCGGAGAAGGCTCAGAACACACCGTCTTAGGCTTAGATCCCTCTGAGAAGGCCCACCCCCTGTGAATCCGCCCTGGGCTCGCCACCGCCGCCGACTCATCGGCCGCAACGGCGCTGCTGGAATGGCACTCCGGCCCTACTCCCAGGTTGCGACTGCACGCCTGCACGGGCCAGGCCCGTCCTGGGCCCCAGGATCGGCCCGGCCCTGGGCCAGGATCGCATGGGGTGCAGAACTGGCAGCCCCAGACAGAAACCGACCACACAGGTCCCCCATAGTAGGGCGGCGAGGTTTGACATATCCACCGCCGCTGGCCAGGCCCTCCCTGGGTCCACGAGCAGTGTACACGCCCCCCTGGCTTGGCCAGGGAGCCATCTAGACCGATCCTGGTCCCAGGAAGGGCCTGGCCAGCGGCGGTGGATGTCAAATCTCGTCACCTTGTGGAGGACATAGAAGCAGCCAATACCTTGGGTGCGTCGAGGTAAAGTCAGGAGGAGGGGGCACATGGTGGCCCGAGGCGTGCGCGGACGAGGGGGGGCCAGGGAACGTCCAGCTGGGAGATCTCAAGGCCCTGGCCATGATGTCCACACACACACACACACACCCCTAAATCCGCCCCCCCCCCTTGGATGCCCCCGGCTGTTGGCTGATGACTGATTTACCGCTCTGGGTGTTTCCCCCCCCCCCTCTGGAGGGTCTCCTTGCCCGCCTCTGGGCGCCCCCCCCCCTGGCCCTGAGGGCAGCCCACGGACCGCGGAACTGGCCCGGGCGTGCAGCCACTGCGATATGCAGTCCAAGTGGAACCAGTGACCTGTGAGGGCGCAGACGACTCCAACTCTCCGACGCCCAGAGGGCCAATTACCTCAGCAAAGCACTCTAATGACAACAGACGACCTGTTGGACCCATGTGGCCTGTGGGACCTGTAAGACCTATGGGACCTCTGCGACATGTGTGGCCTTTGGGGCCTGTGGGAAATGTGTGACCTGTGGGACGTGTGTGACCTCTTGGACCTGTGGGACCAGTGGGGCCCGTGGGACCTGTGGGACCTGTGGGACCTGTGGAACCTGTAGAACCTGTAGGACCCGTGGGACCTGTGCGGCCTGTACGATCTGCGGAATCTGTGGGGCCCGTAGAACCTGTGGCGCCGTGCGGCCTGATGGGCCTGTGGGGTCTGTGGTGGGACCTGGCGGGCCTGTGGGGCATGTGGGGTCTGTGGGGCCTTGCATGTCTGTGAGACTTGTGGAATACATGGGAACCGTGCGGCCTGTGGGACCCGTGGCGCCCGTGCGGCATGTGGGACCTGCGGGAGCTGTGGCACTCATGGGCAGTGTGGGACCCGTTGGACAGGTGCCCCAGGTCCAGCAAATCTCACAGGCCTCACGGACCCCGCAGGTCCTGGTCCTGCGGTCTTGCAAGTCGTACAGTCGGGGCGCTGACCTAAGGAACCCTAAATAAGGAACGAGGCCCCTTTTTCCCACAAGTTGAGCTTCGACTTCCCATCGAAACTCTAAGCAAAATCAAAGGCGAACTGCAAAAGAACTAAGGAACACCGAGCCCCTCCCCAACGAAAAGGGTTCCTTCCTCAGGACCCCGACTGTACAGGCCGCGCAGGCCCCACAACCCTTTCAAGTCCCACTGTTCCCGCAGGCCTCACAGGTCCCACTCGCCCCACAGGTTCCACAAGCCTCACAAGTCCCACAGGCTCCACATGCCCGTCCTGTGGGATCTGTTGGACCTGGGGCACCTCTGGGGCCTGTGGGGGGCCGGTGGGAGCTGTGGGACCTGCGGGCAATGTGGGGCCCTACTTTGCCACGATCCTCGTGAGGAGGAATGTTGCGAAATGGCTGGAAAGGGCGGTTTCGGGCTCCCCGTTCGCTCTGTGAGGTACTGTGGTCCTTCTTCACCTGCTCGAGAACCCTAGAGCGAAACGCTAGTAGGGGAAAAACAGGACGGCCGATTCTTTTGAAGCCGAGCCTCCAGAGGTGAGTTCCGGGACCCGGGGGCCCACGGGAAAGACCCGCGGCACGGCATTAATGCGAAAGACAGGGTCGAGAGCTCCCGAGCTTCAGCGTCGACACATCAGGACATCGAGGGCCCTGGATGAACCGACACAACCGCCCCACTGGCCCCATCCCTGGCCTGGGACCGGCGAGGAACCATGCGCATCCCCAAGCCGCTGGCGGGCCAAGGACTGCGCGCCGATCCAGAGCCCAGGATGGCCCCCCTGGCCAGACCCCAGCGACCGCATGGGAGCCGCGCCGACTCGACGCCGCTCTCCAGCGCCAAGAAGCACACGGAGCAGGGGTCCACGTCCTTGCCCACGTCGGGGGGCCGCAGCCAACCAGCCAGCACTTCCTGCGGAAGTCGGGCCTCGGCGCTCCGGAGGGACTGGTCCAGCTGGAAGTAGCTGCGCCGTATCCTCTCCTGGGCCTTGACAACCCAGAACTGCATCTCGTGGAGCCGCCCGCTGTCCACGAGCAGGGGCATGGAGACGTTCAGCAGATTCTTCATCAGCGCCATGACCGTGTCGGTGCTGGCGTGGGCAGCCGCGCGACTCAGCCCGGCGCTCCTCAACTTTGCCAGAATTCGCTCCTTTTCCTGGGGCGGGGCAGCGAGATGCCGCTACCGCCACTCCCCATACCTACCCAAGGGTGCGCTATGACCAAGTTTCCGAGGCGAACCCAGTTGTGGAGACGGGGGGCCCTCCCGCGAGGCCCCAAAAGGCGAAGATGAGGGAGTGGCATTGGTGGCGGCGTCTTCCCTTCTCATCAGATCTCCGCGCAGACGTGACAACCTTCGGAGACCCGCGCGGCGGATCTCTTCGGTCTGCGCTGGAGCCCCCTCCCCACACACCCTTCCGTGGCGCCGAGGGCGAAGTGCGCCGGGGGCGGAGCTGGAAGCGCCGCCTGGAGGTGTGGGAAGGGGCCCCGCGCCGACCCAAGAGGTCGGCGCGACCTCCGAAAACCTTCTGCGGGCTCGGGCCTTGGCGACTTCCGCGATGGTTTCTGACACCGCGCGATCGTTCAGCCTCGAGCGATCGCAACTCTCGTTTCGCTCGAATCGTTCGGTGCCGGCCGACTCCAGGCAACGGTGCCATTCAACCCCGAACGCCAGCGCTGGGGGCGCCTCCGCGTCGACGCGACGCGAACCTGTCGCCCCGATCACCTCCATGTGGAACTTGGGCCATACTTCGGGACAATTTCGGCATGCCCAGAATGCCCTTGGCGAGGCCCTGCTGGTGGGAACCAACCTGGGCCCCCCAAACCTCAAAAAACCGAAAAGGAATTCCGAAAGCCTACGGACATCGTGCTACCAGAAGGAACGCTGAATGAGGAACGACAGGGCTTTCCGAGCCACGGCGAGCCTCGGCAACGAATAGGTTCCCTGTCCTACACTTACTAAGCGGCCCGAAAACCAGGGCTCCTCCCGCGCCCAGAATGATCCTTTGTTCAGCGTCTTAACTGTATGCTTGTGCCGCTTCATGAACGGAATGGCAGTACACGTCAATTATTAGGCTGCTACCCTTAAGGTTTCTTCTGCGATGCTACCCCAAATTGGCAACTCTCTGTCGCTACGCTGCTAATCATGAGCCACGCCCATCGCCGAGGAGGGGGGGACACTGGCAAGGGGCATGCCACTCCTTGACCAAAACCTTGTCCCGATTTGTTGCCGCCGTGATCGCCGCGGCGACCTCCCAGACCGACCCGGAGATCTGGGTCCTGGGGGCGGGCCGGGTCCTTCTCGGGCCCTCGCAAGGTCGTCCCCCCACAAACGGGCCCGAAGCGAGGAGCCCGTCCCCCAGGGAGGGCACGCAGGCGCCGGCGAGGCCCTGTGCATTTGCTCGAGGTCTGAGGATCGAGGAAAAACGAGGAGGAGGAATAGCGAGGAGGCGGAGGTCCCAGGATCGGGGAAGAGGAGGCGGAGGATGAGGAGGAGCATGAGGGATGATCGAGGAGGTCGAGGAGGGGAAAAAGGACAGGGAGAAAGGTCAGATATCACGCAATGACTTCCGTCTCCTCCCGCGTGGCGAAGGCCAGCGAGTGGAGCAGGACGCTCTGCCTCCGCATCGTAGCGCACTGGTCCTCGTAGTGGTGCGCCGCGTCACGGACGATGATGTCTATCCACGGCAGCTCGCGCAGGCCGCCGCGCTCCTCTACAGCCATCGCGCTACCATAGGGCCATAAGGAACGTTGAATAAAGACTTTCCTTCCTTTCTCCTACCGCCCTCCTCCTTCCCACCTCCGTTCCTCCTGCGCTCCTCCTTCTCCTCCACCCTCGCAAGCGGAAGAAAGCACCCAGCCACTCCAGCTCCAACATAGCCTACCGAAGGCTCTGGACGTCTCTGCTTCGGCGGAAAGGCGTGAGCCGCTTGAACAAAGAACGAAAGGGCTTCTCTCGCTACGGCGAGCCTCGGCAACGAGCATAGTCCCTCCTGAGCCCAAACTGGTCATTATCCTCTTGCACAAGGTGTCCAGAGCTTCGACCACTTTATTCCGCGTCGCGACGCACACTCACCTCCCCCTCCTCCCCCGTGGGAGCCCCGCCCACAGCCCCCTCCGGCCCGAGCATTTTATTCCGCGTCGCGACGCACACGCCCACAGCCCCCTCCGCCCCGAGCATTTTATTCCGCGTCGCGACGCACACCACCTGCCCCCCTCTTCCCCCCGCATCCCCAGCGCCCCAGAGGGATCCCCGCTCCGAGCCCCCTCCGCCCCGACCAATTTATTCCGCGTCGCGACGCACACCACCCCCTCCGCCACGACCACTTTATTCCGCGTCGCGACGCACACCACCTGCTCCTACGCACACCACCTCCCCCCACCCCACCCCCCCTGCATCCCCGGCGCCCCAGTGGAACCCCCGCCCGGTCGCCCTCCGCCCCGACCATGCTATTCCGCGTCGCGACGCACACCACCTCCCACCCTCTCCCCCCCCGCGTCCACAGCGCCCCAGTGGGGCCCCCGCCCCGTGGCCCTCTGCCCCGAGCCCCGCCCAGTGCCCCCTCCGTGCCGACCACTTTATTCCGCGTCGCGACGCACACCGCCTCCCCCCCCCCTCCTCTCCGCGCCCCCAGCGCCCCAGTAGGACCTCCGCCCCGTGCCCCCTCCGCTCCGAGCACTTTATTCCGCGTCGCGACGCACACCACCTCCCCCCTCCCCTCCCCACCTGGTATTTGGGCCCCGTTGCTGGGCCCCGAGGGGCGATGTCTTGCCCCCTCTTCCTCCCTCCTCCTCCATCTCCTCCTCCTCCCCCTTCCTTTTTGTGCAAGAGCCATGGCACACGTGCCACTTGTTTCAGCGTCTTGTTCTACAGGAAACGTTGAGTAAGGAACGAACAGCTTTTCTGGCCCCGGCGACGGACAGGTTCCTCGACCTAGCTTTAAGGAACGGCTCGAAAACCAGAGCTCCTGCTGAAACCAAAGTGGTCCTTCTCTCAGCGTCTTCATTGTAAGCTTGCGGAGTTGCGTGCGAATGTCTGGGACCGGCGCTGGCCCCCCTCTCGCTGGAGGTGCCGCCAGCGTCGATCCAAGGAACCTGCGCGGACCTCCCAGAGTTTATGGCTACGGCCGAAGTGTCATTGGAGGGGACACGCGAGAGGCCACACGTATCCTGGGAGGGCAACGTGGCCCCAAAAACCCGAGCACCCCTGCCCCGGGATTGCAGAAGACAGGAGACGCGACACGCAGGAAACGCGGGTACCCTTGATTTGGCAAGGTCGGCTTGCTCATCAAACTCGACTGCGTGCCGCTTCTTGGGGGCGGCGCCAAAACGCTGTCCGACAAGATGGGGTCCGAGGATCGCGCTGCGTCGCCGATGCATCGGCGACGTCGGCGTGGAGAAAATCGGGCTTCGCATCGAGCCGCTCGATCGCGCCACATCAGCTATTCCACAATGACACTGTGGCATCGCTGATGTGGCGCGATCCTCCGACCCTTTCGTCCGCCCTGATCGTTGTCGGCTTTCGGGCTATAACTCGGGCCTCCGGCGGCAGTTCGGGACGATTCTGGCCCCCGCTGGATTGCCCCCGTCGAGGCGCGGCTGCTGAAGACCATCCCGAGGCTGGAAGACCGCCGAGAACCGACGAACACGCCCGAAAACCTTGAACCTTGACCCCACCTACTTCGACCTTATGCGGAGATGGTTCTTTATAACTTCCGCGTAGCGGTCGTTACCGGGGGGGTCGGAAGGGGAACTTCGGGTAAAGGTAACGCTTTGGGCGGGGTGGGGCTCCTGCGCAAAGCCTGTGAGCACGGGCAGGGCGCCTGCGAGCACCAGCAGGCCCCCGCAAAACGCAAGATCGCTACTGCTACCCGGGGGGCTGAGGTTGGCCCGGGCAACGACCGTTACGCGTCAGAGGATAACAAGAACAGCCTCCTCCCACTTCGACCTCATCTGGGCGTCATGGACTTCTCCTGTGGCGGCGCGCAGAAGGGGTTAGTGGGAGGGGGGAAGGCTTCCGAGAAGGAGGCTGCTTCTTAGAAGAAGGCGATGGCCCTACATCCATAGAAGAGGCCCGCGCCTTCGAATAAACAGGGGTGTTTGTAAGAAGCCCCCCCCCTCCCCCTACAGTCGGACCGCTGAAACATGGAACGGCAACTGAGCTAATGACCTATTTAAGGAACATCGAGCCCCTTTCGTGCTCGCACTGTTCCTTACTTGAACGTCCTCACTGTGCCCCCCTCTGCGCGTGGCTGATCTCCGATCCTCCTCGGTCAAGCTGGCGGCCTCGACCCATGCGCCCAGGCCCTCGAGGCGCCGCCGCCGGGCCCGCTCGACGTGCCTCGCCCGCTGCGCCTGGGCGGGCGACCGACAGAAGCGACGCTGCGGGCGCGAGCTCTCGGAGGCCTGCGCGGATCTGTCGGTGAAGGGCAACGATGGGGGGGACCAACATCGACCTGGAACCGGCGATACACCGTCGATATGCCCCCGATAGCGAATCCGCACCTTCCTGGGCGGGGTGGGGCTACTAGACCCCTATCGAGGATCACTGGGCGGTCGGGGGTCGATGCGTCCCCTCCTATGCCTCGCCCCTGAGCCAAGCATCTGGAAGGACGCGCGGGGCAGAATATTGCACGATTGGCAACTCGTCGTGTACATGGAAACAGACACCTTGCAGAGCAATTGCATGCGCACAAAAATTCGGCTGTGGAAAAGAGCGCATCACGACTGTTAAATAAGAAACAAAAGGAAGCGGGAAGCGGGAAAGGGGAGGACAACGACAGATAACTACATCCGCTAATCCAAGAGCCGGAATTCGGTGACCATTCGTTTTTTCGACCCCCCTTCTGTCACAGAGGGGCGCTGAGATGGCGCCCCTCTGTCACGGAAGGGCTCGTTCTGGGTGCTCTTCTGCCGCGGGACTTCCCGCTACGACTGGAGACGATAGAAGGGGTGAAACGTGTGATGGCGGGGTGGGGGGTTGGGGAGGGGGAAGGGGAATAACTAAGGAAGGGAAGGGCGGGCAGAGAGGGAGAGAGACGCAGGGAGAGCAGGGGGAGAGAAAGAAAGAGAGAGGGAGAGAGAGATGGAGAGAGTCAGAGAGAGAGAGAAAGAGAGAGAGAGAGAGAGAGAGAGAGAGAGAGAGAGAGAAAGAGAGAAAAAAAGAAAGAGAGAGAGAGAGAGAGAGAGAGAGAGAGAGAGAGAGAGAGAAAAAAAAAAAAAACACAGAGAGAAAAGGGCGACGATAACGCGGAGGCGGGCGTCGACGCCCAGGCAGGAGGAAGACAGGGGGAGGGGGGGATAAGACAATGACCAGGAGGGTGATGAGGGAAAAGGGGGGGGGGAGGAGGGGGGAGCAAGAGGATATGCGGAATGATGGTCGCCCTCGTGGCCTTCTCCCCCTGCCTGCTCCCCCCCTCCTCCCTCCTACCCCCTCGTCCTGCTCCTGCTCCCCCTCCTCCTCCTGCTCCTGCTCCTCGAGTTCATTTTGTCTTCTAGCGCCCGAGCGCAGATAAACCGCAGGCTCGCGATCCCCCGCGCGGGCCCTCACCGCTGTCTAGTCGACAGCCCCGCGTAGACACCCATCTCAGCGGTCGCCGCGCCGCTGCTGCGGCGCAGGCGCCGAAGCAGTCTACGCGCATCAAACCGCTGCAGCGGTCAGCGCGCCGCTGCTGCGGCGCGCGCCAGCCAGCCGATCGCTGGGACATCGCTGCTCCGCTTCCTGCGCTATGGCTTTCTGGGCCGCGTCCTCCAAGAACGCCAGCGCAACCTCCTTCTGCTGTCCACGGGTGGCCTTCTGAAAAGGGCGTCGTCACGTCAGTCAACGCAGCGCCTGTGGCCCATTTCTCCGCGGTCAGATCCTGAATCTTCGAGGCCCGTTTTCGGCCTGCGAGTGGTCCGCCTTTGACCTCCACTGTCCACATCCCAGAGGGGCGCCATCTCGTGGTCCACGGGCGCTTCTCGTCCAAAGCGTCGTCGGCGCCATCGTCGTCGACGGGCTCGGGAACGCGTTTGCCTTGGTTCTCCTCGTGCAGGTAGTGCAGGGGCCATGGCAGGTCCTGACGCTGAACGAAAAGGGCGCCTTGCTTGTTCTCATGCACAACAAGCTGCTTCGTGTCGGCCTCCTCGGGCATGGGAGACATCGGCACGGTTGCTCTGACGAAGGTGCCTCGAGGAAACCCTCTTGGTTTCTCCGGGGTTTTCGCCTGGTCGCCGCGCGCCAGCCCCTTCTTGGATTTCGTTGCGCCCTTGGCGGTTCCGAAGAGAGCCGCCGTGGGGCCCCGAGCTCCTGCTTCCGCTGCTGTGGAAGCTCCTGCTGATACCCCCGCTGCTGCGGAGGCGCCTTTCGCAGGAGTCGCAGGTCCACCCGCGTTGTCTCCTTCTCCTGCGCGAAGCTTTGCGACCAATTGCTCTAACATGGTCGTTGCGTTCAAGGCGCCCTTCGCGGCGCTGAGACCACCGACCACCTTAAGCACCCGCTGGCGGCGCTTCCCGATGGGCACGAAGACTTGCGGGCGCCCGCCCCCGACAGTGGAGAGATCGCGCTCTTCGCATTCCAAAGCAAATCCCGCTGCTCCCTCGCGACTCTGGCACAGCCCCCCCGCCGCGCAGAGCACGCCCATGTTCGTGCCATCAAGGCGCGTTGCTTTCCCGACAACGACCTCCCGCCACGTCTCCTCTGCCTTGCGCTTCATGACGCCAGGCGCAAACCCCCGCTGCTGCGGAGGCGTAAGTACGCGTCCTGAGTGTCTGCTGCCCTCGCTGATGATCCGGCTGATCGGGCTGAGAGCTGAGCGGCTGTGGACAGCGGTCGCATCCTGCCATCTCATCCTACTCCCTCCTCATCCTTCTCTCGCGCACCACCATGCCGTCCCCTCCTCTGCCCGTGCGCTCCCCTGATGGTCTCAATCGGCCGGGCGCGCTTGCTGGCAAGGGTGGTGGGGCGTCCATGAGCTTTGATTCCCAACCATCCTGTGGTGTTGGGTCCTCGTTTTGAAGAGACAGCGCCCCGCGTTCCCACCTTCCTCCCGCTGCCCCCCTCCCCCCTCCCCCTCCTTCCTCCTCTTCCTTCTCCTCCCTCCTCCCTGCGTTTCACCCACCCATTCCAGCGCTTCGTGGCTCCATAGGGAGCTCCAGCAAAGGCCCCAGTGGCAGGGTCCGCGTGCAGTTCCACCTCGATTTCGGCGCACCTCTCACGCGTTTCGTGGCCCCATAGGGTGCTCCACCCAAGGCCCCAGTGGCAGGGTCCGCATGCAGTTCCACGTCCATTTCGGCGCACCCCTCACACGTTTCGTGGCCCCATAGGGTGCTCCACCCAATGCCCCAGTGGCAAGGGCCCGCATGCAGTTCCACCCCTATTTCAGCGCACTCCTCACACGTTTCGTGGCCCCGTAGGGTGCTTCACCCAAGGCCCCAGTGGCAGGGTCCGCATGCAGTTCCATCCGCATTTCGGCGCACCCCTCACACGTTTCGTGGCCCCATAGGGTGCTCCGCGGAAGGCTCCAGTGGCAGGGTCCGCATGCAGTTCCACGTCCATTTCGGCGACCCCTCACACGTTTCGTGGCCCCATAGGGTGCTCCGCCCAAGGCCCCAGTGGCAGGGTCCGCATGCAGTTCCACCCCCATTTCGGCGCACCCCTCACACGTTTCGTGGCCCTATAGGGTGCTCCGCCCAAGGCCGCAGAGGCAGGGTCCGCATGCAGTTCCACCTCCATTTCGGCGCACCTCTCACGCGTTTCGTGGCCCCATAGGGTGCTCCACCCAAGGCCCCAGTGGCAGGGTCCGCATGCAGTTCCACGTCCATTTCGGCGCACCCCTCACACGTTTCGTGGCCCCATAGGGTGCTCCACCCAAGGCCCCAGTGGCAGGGTCCGCATGCAGTTCCACCCCATTTCGGCGCACTCCTCACACGTTTCGTGGCCCCATAGGGTGCTCCGCCCAAGGCCCCAGTGGCAGGGTCCGCATGCAGTTCCACTCCATTTCGGCGCACCCCTCACACGTTTCGTGGCCCCATAGGGTGCTCCGCCCAAGGCCCCAGTGGCAGGGTCCGCATGCAGTTCCACCCCCATTTCGGCGCACCCCTCACACGTTTCGTGGCCCGATAGGGTGCTCCGCCGAAGGCCCCAGTGGCAGGGTCCGCATGCAGTTCCACCCCCATTTCGGCGCACCCCTGACACGTTTCGTGGCCCTATAGGGTGCTCCGCCCAAGGCCGCAGAGGCAGGGCCCGCATGCAGTTCAACTTCCATTTCGGCACACCCTTCACACGTACCGTGGCTCCATAGGGTGCTCCACCCAAGGCCCCAGTGGCAGGGTCCGCATGCAGTTCCACCCCCATTTCGGCGCACCCCTCGCACATTTCGTGGCCCCATAGGGTGCTCCGTCGAAGGCCCTCGTGACAGGGTCCGCATGCAGTTCCACCCCCATGCCGGCGCACCCCTCACACGTTTCGTGGCCCCATAGGGTGCTCCGCCGAAGGCCCCGTTGGCAGGGTCCGCATGCAGTTCCACTCCCATGTCGGCGCACCTTCACACGTTTCGTGGCCCCATGGTGTGTTCCGCCGATGACCCCAATGGCAGGGCCCGCATGCAGTTCCACCCCCATTTCGGCGCACCCCTCGCACGTTTTGTGGCCCCATAGGGTGCTCTGCCGAAGGCCCCAGTGGCAAGGTCAGCATGCAGTTCCACCTCCATTTGGGCGCACCTCTCGCACGTTTCGTGGCCCCATAGGGTGCTCCGCGGAAGGCCCCAGTGGCAGGGTCAGCGTGCAGTTCCATCCCATTTCGGCGCGACCTCACACGCTTCGTGTCCCCATACGGTGCTCCGCCGCAGGCTCCAGTGGCAGGGTCCACATGCAGGTCCACCTTCATTTCGGCGGACCCCTCACACGTTTCGTTACCCCATTGGGTGCTCCATTCAAGGCCCCCGTGGCAAGTCCGCATGCAGCTCCCCTTCCATGTCGGCGCACCCCTCACGCGGCGGGGTCCACATGCAGTTCCACCCCCATTTCGGCGCACACCTCACACATTTCGTGTCCCCATAGGGTGCTCCGTCGAAAACCCTCGTGACAAGGTCCGCATGCAGTTCCACCCCCATCTCGGCGCACCCCTCACACGTTTCGTGGCCCGATAGGGTGCTCCGCCGAAGGCCCCAATGGCAGGGTCCGCGTGCAGTTCCACTCCCATGTCGGCGCACCTTCACACGCTTCGTGGCTCCATGGTGTGTTCCGCCGATGACCCCAGTGGCAGGGCCCGCATGCAGTTCCACCCCTATTTCGGCGCACCCCTCACACGTTTCGTGGCCCCATAGGGTGTTCCGCCGAAGGCCCCAGTGGCAGGGTCCGCATGCAGTTCCACCTCCATTTCGGCGCACCTCTCACACGTTTCGTGGCCCCATAGGGTGCTCCGCGGAAGGCCCCAGTGGCAGGGTCAGCATGCAGTTCCATCCCAATTTCGGCGCACCCCTCACACGTTTCGTGGCCCCATACGGTGCTCCGCCGTAGGCTCCAGTGGCAGGTCCACATGCAGGTCCACCTCCATTTCGGCGCACCCCTCACACGTTTCGTTACCCCATAGGGTGTTCCATTCAAGGCCCCCGCGGAAAGTCCGCATGCAGTTCCCCCTCCATGTCGGCGCACCCCTCACACGCTTCGTGGCCCCATGGAGTGTTCCACTTAGGGCCCAAGTGGCAGGTTCCGCATGCAGTTCCCCTTCCATTTCGGCGCGCCCCTTCCACGTTTCGCGGCCACCAAAGGCCCTGGTGGCAGCGCCCGCACGTGGTTCCACCCTGCATTTCGGCGCACCCCTCACGCGTTTCGTGGCCTCAGATGGGGCTGCACCGACGGTTCCTGTGGCAGCGTCCGCATGACGTACCCGTGCTAATTTTGGCACCCGTCACACGCGTCGTGGTCTCAGAGGGAGGTTCACCGAGGACGATACCCACACCTGCGTTACACACAGCTGCACATGGTTGGGCCCTTCGCCGGGATAATTGGAGTTACATGTCGGCTTTTTTACTGTGGACAATACAGAAGTTCCCAACGCGCTCGCGGGTGACACGTGTCACCGTCGGCCTCCGTAAAGAGCCGCAGAAATTTTGAATTCAGTTTTTGGAATTACATGTCGGCTGTTTTATTGTGGACAATACAGAAGTCCCCAAACGCGCTCGCGGGTGACACGTGTCGCCGTCGGCCTCCTTAACGAGCCGCAGAAATTTTGAATTCAGTCTGTGGAATTACATATCGACTTTTTTACGGTGGACAATACAGAAGTCCCCGACGCGCTCGCGGGTGACACGTGTCACCGTCGGCCTCCTGGAAGGGCCGCAGAAATTTTGAATTCAGTGTTTGGAATTACATGTCGACTCTTCTGTGGTGGACACTGCAGAAGCGCGCGGGGTCACCCGAAATCCGCTCGGTTCCTTAGCGGTGGCCGGTCGGATTTCGGGTGACCCGCCCGCGCGCGCGGGTGACCCACCCACGCGCGTCTGTCGGCATCCTTAAAGAGCCGCGCAGTACATGTGTGCAGAAGTCTCTTTTCGCAGACGGGGTCACCCGAAATCCGCTCGGTTCCTTAGCGGTGGCCGGTCGGATTTCGGGTGACCCGCCCGCGCGCGCGGGTGACCCACCCACGCGCGTCTGTCGGCATCCTTAAAGAGCCGCAGTAATGTTGAATTCAGTTTTTGAAATACATGTCAACTTTTCTAATGTGGAACCCACAACACAGACGCACCTCTTCTCTCTCTCTCTTTCATTTTTTTTTTTTTTCTCTCTCTCTCTCTCTCTCTCTCTCTCTCCCTCGCTCTCTCTTTCTGGGGAGGACAAGAGGGTAAAGCAGAGAGAGAGAGAGAGCGGAGTCTATAGAAAAAGAGAGAGAGAGAGAGAGAGAGAGAAAGAGAGGGAGAGAGAGAGAGAGAGAGAGAGAGACAGAGAGACAGAGAGAGAGAGGGAGAAAGAGAGAGCGAGAGAGAGAGAGAGAGAGAAGCGGAGCAAACGAAACCATGGAATGGAGAAGCGCAATGGGATGGAGAGAGCGAGAAAGCGGGAGAGGTAGTAGGAGGAGAGCGAACAGGCGTGGAGCGACGAGGAACGGGCGGCGAGGACAGGACAGGAAGGTAGCGGGAGAAGGGAGAACGAAGTGGACGAAGAGCGGGAAGTCGAACCTGAAGGGGGGAGAAAAGGGCGGTAGAGAAGGAGGAAATGCAGACGAAGGAGGGTGACGAGGTAGATGGCGGGGTAAAAAAGACAAGGGAGGAGAATGTGGTGAGTATCGTGAAAGGACGCATGGGGAACAACGACAAGGATCACTGACGCAAAGATGATGAGCGCAGAAGTAGCATGATATATACGATTTGGAGAAGCAGGATGAGGAGGAGGGGGATGACGAGCCCCTCTGTCACAGAGGGCCTCCAAATTCCGCCCCTCTGTCACAGAGGGCCTCTAAACAACGCCCCTCTGTCACAGAGGCCCAACATGGTCACCTAATTATGGCTTTTGGATTAGGTCCTCTCATGTTTATCCCCTCCCATTGTTGCGCCTGAATCGGGCTGGCGCTGGACTCGGCGGCGGACCCCTGGGGAAGTGAGAGGGGGCAAGCCTTCTGAGAAGGGCGGCGGGGCTTCTCAGAAGCCCTCTGGCCTTCTTGGCAGCTTTCTGAGCCCTCTCTGGAGACAGGAACGGCCTCTCGGAGAAGGCCGGATGGCCCCCGCCGCCTTCTGAGAAGGCCTGCCCCCTCTCACTTCCCCCCTGGGCTCGCCAACGATGGCTGGCCCCCCCCTTCTACTACCGCAGAGGAAGAGCACACTGCACATGAATAAACTTTCGGAGGTCCTCGCGGACTTCCTTGGATCGGCGCTGACCCCCCTCCCTGGCGCGCGGAGCGCGGCAGGGGCATTGCTGGAGGCGCCGCCAGGGGGGTCCAACGCAGATCCAAGAAATTAGCGTCGACCTGCGACAGTTTATGTTTATGACGATATTTCTTCTTCGATGCCAGAAGGCTGGAAACACACAAACACACACACACACACACCCGCGCACACACAAACTCTCACACGAACACACCTAAGCACACACAAACACACACAACACACACACACTCACACACTCACACACACACACACGAACTCACACACACACTCACACGCAACACACACACACACTCGCACACACTCACACACACACTCACGCACACACACTCACACACACACACACTCACAAACACACTCACACACACGAACTCACACACATTCACACACACACACACTCCCACAAACACACACACACACACTCACGCACACACTCACGCACACACTCACGCACACACCCACACCCGCACCCACACCCTCACCCACACCCACACAAACACACACACACCCGCACAATCACACACCCACACCCACACCCACATCCACACCCACACCTTCACCCACAGACACAGACACACATTCACACACACACACTCACACACTCTCACACTCTCACACACACACACACACGCACGGCTCGTTTCACATGTGGAACCTGTGGAGGTCACTTGCTAGATGCACATGCGGAGCGCGGGAGTACCTGGCAATGGAAGGGCCGAGGGCTGCAAAGACTGGCGGCTGGCGACCGGTGGCGTCTGGAGGATGTGTCGGTCGCCGCAGCAGTCCCAGGTCGTCCCAGAACGCTCTGGAGCGCTTCATCTTCTGACCAGGCCTGCCTCACACTCATGCACTTCCCTGGCGCGCGGAGCGCGCAGGAGGCGGCGCTGGACGCACCGCCCAGGGATGTGGGGGGGTCTGTCGCCGACCACGAGATCCGCCTGGACCTCCGACAGCTTCATGTACCTAAACCTCCGACGACCTGATATTGTCTAGCCTCGGGGGCCACGGACCGCTCGACCAATTCAATGGGACCAACTTATCCCTCTGAGTCTGAGTCTGCCAATCCCAAGGTCCGAGCCCTGCTTCTGGAGGCCGAAAATGCAGAAAAAGATCAAACCCATGTATTCGAGTCTCTGAGGTCTGGGTCTGTGCTTGTTTTGACCCTCGTGCACCTCCACTTCGCACGACGTGGTGCGGAAGAGCTCGAAGAAGTGGGTCACCTCCGTCGACCGCTCGTAGAAGCCCTCCTCGCCCTGGACCAGCTGCATCACCTTGCCGCGGAACGCGCACGCCCCGTCCTCCACCTGAGCGGGGTCGGTGGAGGGAGAGCTTTGCTTTCCTGCCCTGGCGCTGCCGTGGCCCGATGCGGCGCCATCGAACCCTGGTGTCTGGGGGAGGGGGAGGAGGAGGGGGAGGGCGAAGGTGGGGGTGAGGAGGGGGAGCCTAGGCTGGGAACGGCCAAAGTGTCTCCTCGCTTCCGGTCAAGAGGGTCTTCGGCCTCTGCAAGGCCCTGCCGACTCCGAAGATCAACATCCCGTGCGGCGTCAAGCAGTCGCCAATTGCTCGACTGCGGAGGACCGCTAGACTGTCCCACACACACAGACACACACACACACACTTGCACACTCGCAGAAGCACATACAAGCACGCGTATACACACGCAGACACGTACACGCAATCACGCAACACGCGCGCACATGCACACAGGCGAACACGCACACACATAGATGCAAATACGCATTCACTCGAACACACAAGCAGACACACACAACCATACTGGCACCAACACACAAACACAAGCAAACACGCCCACACAATAGCTTTTCACACACGCGTGCACTGACAAGCACACAGCGTCAGACAACATATCACGCGCGCACGCATACAACAAAGCACGCTTTCCGAAATAAGTATATATTTCCTTACGCGAACATGTGTGCGCGCGCATGCACGCACGAACTTGCGCACGCGCAATCACACGTGCGCAATCATTCGAATCATGTTCATGTGGAAAGGCTTAGGACAAATACGATGCTCGCGAGGAGAATGAGACCTGGTACCGACGGGTGACGAAGGTGCTCCTGACATCGCACTAGTCTCCTCGCGGGAACGGAGCAACCACAAGGAGAGAACCAACCCTGGGCTGGTATGCATCAGCAAGAGCGCAGGACGCCTGATCAGCTGTAAGGATGCCCTCGCAACAAGTCTCGCCGTCAGCGAACGCGACCTTAACCTGGCACCAGCATATCACGAGGACAGACCGCTGAGAGAGAGTTTGGCAATTACCACTGGCAAGAAGAGGCAATTTCAATGGGCATGGTGGCAGAGCTCCGTCCCGAATCCGGGGGGCGGGAGGAGGAGGAGGAGGAGGAGGAGGAGGAGGAGGAGGAGGAGGATGGATGGGAACAAAAACGCGCCGATGGCTATTCTGAAATTTCGGCCTACGAGTCTTCGTTTCGGGCACCAAAGTCGTCAATAGCCGAAGCATGATGGATAGACCCCGCGAGGGGACCGGCGGGGGACCGGTCCCATCTCCTCCCCCTCCCCCTCCCCCACCACAGGAGGACGCCTACAAAAACACCGAGACCGAAATTGGCCAGGCCGATCCTGGGCCCAGGATCTGTGTAATTGTACGCCCCGCCTGGCCAGGCCCGGAGGGCGTATACGACGATGGTGTGCCCAAAATCGGCCTGGCCAAGATCGGCGTCGGTGTGTAGTTGGCCTCCCTCGGAACGCTCGACCCCTTCCCTGGGACAAGTCTGTCGTCGCGGATCGCTTTCTGAAGGGGCTTCTTCCCTGGAACCGCACCCAGATGCCGAAGTCGCAAAAGCAGTCGTCGCGATTTCTTTCGCGACTCCTAGAGGGAGGTCTGGGTCGGCGAATATCTCTTCGTTGGGGAGCGAGATATGGACCCCTCAGTCCCTCCCGGACACCATCCGACACATTTTTCGATTTGCGCCCAAGGTGTGAGGAATCCCCGCCTCGGACAAGGCCACAAAGCCCTCTCCAGACGGACCACTCCCAGAAACATCCAAATCCGCCCTTATCTCGACCTCACGCGGCACGTCCAGGCCGATACCCGCGACGCCACGGATTTTTCTGTTGGCCGCGTGGGCACACGTGGCCCTTCTTTGGGGGCCGCTTCTGATGCCTGCTTGTGTTTGTATGGCCTCGGGGCCCGAACGGGACTCCAGAGGCCCCCAAACACTTGCCGTCTCTAGTTCCCACCACCACGACCACACTTAGTCGGACTCGGAAAAGGAGTCGGTAAGCAATCCTACCGCTGACCCCTCTCGCCCGTTCCTTCCAGGTGAGAAGAAGACGCTGATGAGGAGGGAGACGGGGCAGGGAGGAACAGACAAGGAGGAAGAAGAGGAGAAGAGGGGCAAAACAGGTGCCGTCTCGGCTTGTGTTCGTGGCGACGGCGGTCTGGGATCCCTCCCCTCACAAATCGGCCTCTGACCTATCCTGGAGTCTGGTCAGACTCTCCATGGAGGAACTCTACGAGCGCGCCCAAAGAGGGGCCCAAAGGAGGGCCTAACGCCATAACATCAGACGCCCTGATTCACTTCATGCGCGGCCCTCGAAGTCTCGACCGCTTCCCCCGAGGCTGGCTTTCCTTCCCGAGCCGCTTCTGGGACGGCCCTGGAGACCGAGCGCGGCCCCCCCGAGGACGAACATGGGGAAGTCCTTCGTCTTGATTTTTTAAGATGTCGGACGTCTGGGCTCGCCGTCGTCTCGGGGCGGACGAAAGGGAGGCTTTGCTTTTCTGGCGCCTCCTGGCGCGCGCAAAAGCGCCAATGTATCGAGGAACGCGTCAGGCGGCCCGTCGGCGGGGTCGAAACCAGCTGCATGCGCATATTTCGCATGCCACCCTCTCCCGCTCCAAAGGCCGCCCGGACGGGGCCAGATCGGATGTGGGCGGAGGATCGTGCTGCGTCGCCGACGCATCGGCCACGTTGGGATGGAGAACATCGGGCTCTGGAAAGCGCCGCATCGTCGATGCACCTGCGATGCGGCGCGATCCTCCGACCCGTTCGCCCGCCCTGACTGTTGTCAACTTTCAGGCCTCCCGAGGCCGTCCGGGACGATTCGGGCACCCCCGGAATGGCGTCGAGGCACGGCCGCTGGAGAGCATTCCGAGGCTGCAAAGCCGTCACATACCAACAGAAACGCCCGAAAGCATCGAACCTCGAGAATTCGTACGCTGCCCCTTTCGTCCGATCCAACCGTCCCGCGACAGCACCGATGCGACCCCCCTGCGCGCCAGGCGGGGCGCGGCGGCCGCCGCGAGGGCCTTGGATGGCTGCCCAGGCTCCTCGACGACCTGCGCCCCAAGGACGGACGCCGTCGCCGTCAAGGTCCCCGCCGCTGCCGCCGCCGCCGCCGCCGCCGCCGCCGCCGCCGCCGTCGTCGTCGTCGTCGTCGTCGTCGTCGTCGTCGTCGTCGTCGTCGTCGTCGTCGTCTTCGTCGTCGTCGCCATTGTTTGCGGCGAGGTCGAGGTCGTTGTCGTCGTCGGAGTGGGGGGGAAGAGGAGGAAGCAGGTCGTTTTGGGCAAGCACCGCGTGCGGAGAAAAAGAGGGAGACAGGAGAAAGGCAACTAATGGCCGAACCCTTTGTGTCTGCAGCCGAGGCTAAGTGGCAGTCCCGTCTCTTCACCCCCTCCTGAGGGAGGAGGAGAAGCCGCAAACGGCTGGGAGGGCAACGGGCCCTGGTGGCCTGATGAGGCCGAACCCTCGACGCCCAGCACCTCCTGCGCCTGCCCGGTAAGGGACGGTCCCTCGTGGCTGGGGAACTTGCCCTGGGCAATGCGGGTCAGTTTCTCGTTGTCCTGCTTTCTCATCATGGGGAGACAGGGTCTGGTCAAATGTCGGGGATTGAAACAACAATGTGGGCCATGCCGGTCCCAACATCCGAAATTGTAGGCGGGGTCGAGGACGCCACCACCGATGGACGCCGGCCCAAGGACCGACAGGATCACACACCATAGGGCCAGCTGGCCGCGTGGTCAAAACACGGAACGACCGAAGAAGGGCGGGTTTCCCCGGTTCCAGCTATGGGAGAACCAAGCGAAACACGAGCAAGCAACCAAGCCGTGGTGAAACGCAGCTACTATCCCCCGCTGTCTGGCCCTGCCATGCGCGAGACGCCTACTATGTGCAGAGGCGCTCCGTATTTCTCGAGAGAACAGTCGCCGCCAACACTGAGAACGAGCACCACGAAATGAACCGCGATTCAGAAAATTCTCACCACGCAGGCCGAGGAGGCCGAAGAGAAAAGAGACACAAGACCAGGGAGGGAGGGAGGGGGACTTGAGCAACGGGCCATGGAATGGACGGCAGCGGCAACGACAACGAGGGATTCAAAAACGTGTGCAACACTGGGTTGTATCCCCCGCTGTCTGGCCCTGCCATGCGCGAAGCGCCTACTGTGTGCAGAGGCGCTCCGTATTTCATGAGAGAACCGTCGCCGCCAGCACTGAGAACGAGCACCACGAAATGAATCGCGATTCTGAAAATTCTCACCGACAATGACCGTTGCAACACACACACACACACGAAGTCGAATGGCCGTTCATGCCGCCGAATCATTAGCTTACATTGACATGGCACGTTGCATCGCAGAAGCCTTGCGGCACACTACAACATCATCGAAGGCGCTGGCGAGTGAGCGGCAGAGCTGAGCCGGATAGGCCTCGGCGACGGCGGTCCAGAAGCGCCCATCTGGCGCGCGACCTTCGAGCGCTTGATGGGGCCTAGCCGGCTTGCTACAACACCAGAGTGAACGAGTGCAAACTTTGATTATCCTGGACAAGTCAATGTGGGGCCCGAGGAAAGCTGTTCTCTTTCTCCACGGGGTGCCCCACTGACAGAAATCTGCGCCGATGCAGGTCCACGCTGCAGATCTGACAAGAGAGGCGACGGGAGGAGCAAGCCAGATCCTAGACGTGCTAGGGTTCTCCATCGCGCATGGGTGCTCCATGCGGCATGACACCGCCAAAATAATCGCATCATCAAGTTCCCGAAATCGACTGCTGCCTGGGCCCAGGGGGGCGAGGTCGGGCAGGCCGAGCGCGCGCGCGTCTGAGCGGAAACGAAAGGGACCTGGCTGGATGTCACGCGCACGCGGCCAACTGCCGCATGGCGTGCCGAGGCGCGCGCCTAGAATCGGGCCCGACTGAATCCTGCCGCGAAATGGGCTGGCGTTTGCTGGCGTCGCGAAGATCGAACCCTGGCCCGCGCTCCAGATCCCAAGCAAGCGCGCGGCATCCGCGGCGGGCCATCGCTCTGCTGAGGCGGCCCGAGCCTGCGAAAACTTCAACAACAAACGCTCTCACCTTGAGCGCGCCTGGAACGGCGGGGCAGCGCGCCCCCCTAAGAGAACATCGGGGAGCGCGCTGTGACACCTGATCGCGTGCTTCTGAAGGTCGGGCGGCAGCCTGCTGAATTGTTCGCTCGGCCCGCCGCCCTTCTCGCAGCGCGTCTGACCGACGCGTTGGTCTCCCACCTGCCCCTGCGCTTGACCTCTGCCAGCGGCCGCAGCTGGTTGACGAAGTTCCTGCTGGCGCCAGAGTGGCGCAGCAGGTGCGGCATCGGCTCGGGGATGAGCTTCAGCCGCCGCGCAGCGCGCCTGTGCAGCACGGCGAACTCGCCCACCGAGATGTTGAACAAGCCCGCGTCGGGATCCTTCCCTGCCGCCAGCCGCTCAGCTCGCCCGCCAGCAGCTGGTCACGCGCCAGGTCGAGGATGAAGCTTTCGTCGAACTCCGCCGTCTTGCCGGGCTTCGCGTCGTCGCCCTCCCGCGGGCGAAGCACTGGCGCCCAGTGGCGAAGCGCCAGGCTGCCGGCATCCCGCGGTGGCACGGCGTGCCTCGCCGGCACGCGGGACCACTCGCCTGGCCGCATGTTGAACACCATCGACAACACCACGCAAACCGCCGCCCCCCACTGCCGCCGGCCGACGAGCTCGCACGCCAGGGCGGCCACGGGCTCTTCCGGCAGCGGCAGCCGCGTCAGCGGCGGCGTCAGCACCTTCCACCCGCGGAGCGACTGCCGCGCCGCAGGCAGCCGAGCGGACTCGTCGCGGCCGAGCCGCGGGTCGCTCCACTGAAGGGCGGCCAGCATCTGAACCCCGCGCCAGTGGTCGACACCCTCCAAGTGCCGCCCCAACATCCACTCGGAGAGGCCGAGGTCGAGCGCCGCCGCGTCCGCGTCGGGAAGAGGCGTCGCCACGCGGTCGTGGATCGAGAACTTCGGCCGCGGCGCCAATCCCTGCTCCTCCAGACACACGTCGAGCTCGTCTCGTCGGTTAGCTGCTGGTAGCGGCTCCTCACGGTCTGCGTGCGCACCGTGCCCAGGCGGAGTGCGTCCAACGTGCTCGCCTGGATCGCCCGGCCCCCCCCTCCGCGATGTTGCCAGGCGGAGTTCCCCACTTGTGAGGCCCCGCGACAGCCCGACCAGGTTCGCGGAAATATTGAGGCAAACGACCTGCGGCCAGCTGGCGGCCTCTGGGTTGGCCTCCTCCGCGCCGACGATGTGCTGGAAGTCCTCGGAGCTCTCGAGAGGGGTCTTCGAATTCCCTTCCGGCGGCCCTGGGGCGTCCGGGGTCTTCGAATCTCCTTCTGGCGGCCCAGTAGTGATGCCTGCCCACGCCCTTGACTGCACCTGCATGTCGCCCAAGAAACGCCACCGCTCCGAGAAGACCCCCACCGAGCCCACGAGCTTCTCATCGAAAACCTTGCAGACCAGCCCAAGGCCCCAGAAGGACGCGTCAGCACACATCACCTTAGAGCTCCAGGACACCTGCGTGCTCCGAGATATCATACTCAGCAAGCTCGAGAACGCGCCCAGCTCCCAAAGGACGGAGTCCCAGAGCGGGGGCCGCGGCGCAGCGGCGTAGCCGTCGGACAAAGGTATGCGCTGAATTGAAGATGGCAAGATGTTCGCGACGCAGAAGAGGAATCAATGTACAATGCCCCAGCACTTTGTCTACGTCTTTCGGGTTGACGATTCTCCTCCTTGTCATGCAATCGAGTGCCATGCGAAGTCGCCGCAGCCTTGATCTCTTTGGTAGGATTTCTCTCTCTCTCTCTCTCTCGGCCTCGGATTTTCTGGCCCAGGATTTCCGCATCAGGATCACAAGTGCGTACCTCATGGGTGGGGGGGCACCCTGGACGTCAAGGCAGTGTTGACTAGACTAACAGCGCTGGCGACAGCCTTGGGATCGGTGCCCAACGTCAAGGAAGTATCAACATATACAGTCATAGCAAGCGGACGCACCGGCGGCACCGCGCACTTGTCCGAGATGAAAGGCACATCGCTCAGCTCGGGGATCGAGGTCACGATGCCCCCGTGGATGGTCTGGCACCAGTGCAGCGCGTGCGACCAGCCCATCGCGGGCACCGCCAAGAACGGCCAAACGCGAGCGCCTGGCCCCAACTGCTGCCCGCCAGGGCCCACGAGACCCGCGTCGCCGGACTTCGCCGACGGCAGGGCGAAAAAGTCGCGGAAAGCATCGGGCAAACCGAAGTGGTAGAGAGCGTCGCACATGTCCACGTGGCCGGCGTACAACTGCTCCCTCTCCGGCACGGCCAGCTCTTCCAATGCTGAGCCTGTTGCCAACGCCACGGTGGCGGGCCGCCTGAACCAGCAATTGGCCCGGCGGCAGTCGACCGCAATACGCTGCCCCCCAGACTTCTAACTCACGAAGAAGAGACCGCACCTTTCCCGCGGGGTCGTGCTGAAGGACGCCATGCCAGCAGCCTGGGGGCGCTTCGCCAGGCCTGCGCATGCGCGCGGGCTCGCTTTCAAGTTGGTGTCCATGTATGGCTGTTGCGGAGCCTCCAGAAGATTGGACTCGACCTCCTCGTTTGGAAGGAGCTGCTCATGCCTTGTCGACTCGGCATCATGATCGCCCGCGCCCTGAAGTAGCTGCCCGAGCGGCACAGGCGCACTGCCAGCCTCGGGCGGCGAGACGAGGGAGTCGTCGAAGCCAACGACCAGCGAGTCGATGTCCTCGTGCACGCCAGCGCCGCGGAGCTCATGGAGGGCTCCTGCGGGAGTGAGGCCAGGGGGCAGGGGGGGCATCGCAGCGGCAGCGCGTCGAACGCGATCGCGCGCCAATCGATGGGGAGGCCGCTCCGCCAGGCCCGGGGCGCCAAGCGCCCTCGGCCTCCCGGTCAGATCATTGAGGGCCCCAATGACGCAGTTCGCCTCGGTCACCACGGCGTCTCGCCGAAGCAGCCGCCGCCGCGCCGAGCGAGAGACCGCGCCGTCGGAGGGGGCCTGGCCGCCCCGCAGCATCGGGACAAGAAAAGATCGTGACGGCCTGGAACGCCGTCGCCTCGAATTCGCCCAGGTACGCAAGCAGGAAAGCCCGCGGGCTCGGTGGCCCCGAAGGTCGGGGAGGAGGCGGCCGCGCGTATGCCTCCACCCCGTTGCGTCGTCATGACTTCCCTCCGCCGCCGCCCCCCTTGGGGCCCTTGCGACGCAGCTCGCGTTCCTCCCGCGCCTCCCTGATATTCTTCATGATGGCCGCGTCCTTCTCGACCTGGCCCTTCGTGAACTCGAGGAGAGCTGGCGCGACCATTAGCAAGTCTCCTGCCTTGCTGAAGCCGCTGAGCGCCGCGCGAGCGTCTAGGCTCGGCGGAAGAAGGCCTCGGCGAGCGCGCAGTTGCTCAGGTCGAGCTGGTCGCAGGTGCCCGCCAACTCGATATGCTTCATGAGCTGCTCGTACTCCTGGACTCCCCGCTGCTCTGACTGGAGCCTCGCCGTCGTCTTGAACATGAGGTGGCGTCCGTCGGCGCGCGGCGGCGTCGCAAAAAGTCGAGGCGCCACCGCGTCGACCGCGGCCCCGCCGCTGGGAAGTCCCCGAATGGCTCCTCCTCGCAGGTATCCACCACCTCGCGCCACTCTCGGCCACGGCCGCGCGCCCCGCTCTTCACCGCGAGCGCCCTGGCGTCACCGCTGGCCCCAGAGGCGCCAGACGAAAAGCTCGCAGCGTCACCGCCGCCGCGCGGCCTGGCCCATCGTGGAGCAGGCCCTTGCTGCTTGTCGCAAAGCTCATGCGCCGGGGAGCCGAGCTCGTCGCCGACCACGACGCGGCCTTGCTCGTCCGTCTCCGCCGCCCGCCACGCCAGGCCACTCGAGCGGGGAGTCGCCGTGCCTCCCACAGCCGCAGCGCCTCCCCCGCCTCCCTCGGCTGCCTCGCCGGCGTCAGCCGGCGGCTCAGCGCTGCCTCCCTCAGCGCTGGCGCCGTCGCCTGCGGGCGGTCGCTGCCCGCCAGGCGGCGCCCGCCGAAGAAGTTGGCACCCGGCGCTTCCTGGGCGGCGATGTCTCGGCCGATCGGGTTCCTGATGGTCGAGGGGGGCTCCGGCGCCATGCCGCGCGACCCAATGTCCGCCAGCGCCGCCGCGTACGTTGAGCGGAACAGGCCACGCATGTCTGCGTCGCTCGGCGACGCCTCGAGGCGATAGGCGCGCCCGAGCCCCGCCGGCAGACGCAGGTCTCGGGGCGCCTCGAGCCACTCCGCGGGGCTGTCGTCTGGCAAGCCCCCTCCAACTCCTCAATGTGCATGTCCATGTCTGGGCTGAGCACCGCCCGGCAAGCCCCGCGACCGCCGCGCTCGGCGGCCTCACTGGCTGCTGGGTAGAGCAGGATCCGCTCGTGCCAGACGTCGTCCTCGGCGTAGCGGACCACCGCCCTGGAGCCGGGAATCAGCCGCGACGACGACGCCATGGGGGCCAGCGACATCTGGCCGGCCTGAGGCGCCCTGCAACTGCGTCGCCAGCCTCCCGAAGGCGAAGCCCACGGGCAGAGCGAGGATCGCCGGGCTCGCAGCGGCCGCCCAGCCGGCGCAGCCCTCAGCCGCCTCGCGCAGCGCTCCTGCGAGCGCGTCGCACTGCGCCCTAGCGCGCCAGCCAGCCAGGACGGCCCGCCTCCGCCGCCGCCGCCGCCAGGACGCCGAAACCCTTCCCGCAGGTGCAGTAGCGCGCGGGGCAGGGCTATCTCGCGGACGCCCAAAGGCCCCACCCTCCAGGAAAGGGGGGAGGGCCTCCTTCATGCCCTGGAACGAAACTTGAGCAACGGGCCATGGACTGGAGGCAGCGGCAACGACAACGAGGGATTCAAAAACGTGCGCAACACTGAGCTACAATCTTGCGTCGATCGAGAGGTGCAGGAGAGAGGCCGCGTCGCGTGATCGGGAGCTAACCTACTCACCGTGCGCGCCGGCGAGGGAACGATGAGGTAGGCGGAAGATAACGAGGGGGCCAGACGGGGGATCATGAGAGGGAGAGCCCTGGAAGAAAATTGTCGGCCCACGAGAGCCGCTTGTGGGTCTGAGGGCCGATGGAAAACCTGTCCTGGGTGAAAAGCTGCCCCGTCGAAGCTGTCTGGAGACCCAGGGGCCGCGCATTGAACAAATCACGATATTAATTAGATGTCCGAGAAGGGGCTCTCGTGCATGGTCTTGCCTCCTGGGGCGCCCTCGTCGACGCGGCTGGACCCCCGTCAGAAATCCGGCCAGATCGCGCCCTGGGGCAAGTTTGGGCGCCCCCTTCCCCAACTCGTCGGCGACGGGGAAGACAACTGCAAAAGGGGAAGATGAGCGAGCGCACGCGAAGGTCCCCCGACACTCCGGACGCCTTCAGGCGCCCGAGAAGGGGCGAGCACCTCGATCATCGAGCCTCGAACCCTCCCAGCGGGCACGCACTTGAATGGGGGCCAGATGGCTCGCATTCGGGGCTGGATGCTTGAGCCGAAGTCCGGGGTGAAGAACTTCAGCGGGCTAGTGCGGGGTCGGGATGAAGCGAGGAGAACGCGAGGAAAGACGGATAGGGGCTTGGAAACCTCCAGCGCTAACAGCGAAGGCCGCGATGCAAACGGCCTGGCGGCGCGACGACCGTCGCGCTGACATGCGTACATTTTGCGTACATTTTGCGGCACTTGAACATCCAGCAGCTCGAGCCTCTCAAAATTACCTTCAGGAACACTTTCCTGGTGACGAGGAGGTCGGGGGGGAGGATGGGTGCAACTCTCGGTCAGCGATTTTGTCGGATCGAATTCGCGATCTGTCGATTTCTCAATCTCGATTTTCCCTTCTATCAGTCCACAACATCACCCCCAGTTTCACTCCGATCTCGCCCCCCCAACCTGAGAACCCCTGTACTCTTGGAGGCCTAGACATTCGCACTAACACCTGCGCGAGAGGTTGCCTCCACTGGGGAAAAGTGATTATAAATGTTGGTGTTGGCCCGAGATCGGGGTCATCTTCCCTCGGTGGAGGCAGCCGCCGATTATGTTTTGCTGCCAACCTCTAGGCCTCCAATATGAGCTCGCAGGGGAAGAACATCAGCAGCCGAGTCGGGCCAACTCAGTGTGGGGTATGTTTAGGTGTCCCAAAACGGTGCAATGACAGACGACGCGGTGAACTCGGAATCAAAGACCTCGCCGCGCAGTCCGCCACCGCACGGCCCCCGGGCCCTGGAGGCCCCAATCGCCCGAGCCGTCCTCGAACAACGACCCAATGTGAAAATCAGGTAGGCGAGGATGTGGAATTGATTGCGGAAATGCATGATCCTCTCCTTTCCGCCCATGGCTGTTGTGGCGCACAAGCTGGGCGGGGGGTCGACGCACCTACTCGCGTTTGTTGCGAGTGCGGAGATGCATTGATCTTCTTTCTCTTATCTTGTGCTTGCATCAAGTGCTTGGTGGGAGGGGTAGTGTGATCAGTATTTGCACTGGTAGCCTGGAACTGTCAGTTCTATGGTTGCGAGATTAATGCTGTGCGTGGCCGTGCAGATATATGCTGGCGCTCAAGGTTCTCGTAGCGCGGCACCACTGCGCACTTCTTTCAGCGGCCAACACGCTGAACACCATCGCTTGCAGCCTGGCCGAGAATCGTTGCCGCGACCCGGACA